TTTTTTTTTTTTTTTTTTTTTTTTTTTAAGAAAGAAACTCATTCAGGTTTAAAACAACTTGAGAGTGAGTAAATAATGACACAATTTTCATTTTTGGGTGAACTATTCCTTTAATGTTAATAAAATAATACACAAAGAGAAAAATAACTCACTGCTCTTGACTGAATAACTTTAATACAGTTGCTAATGTTCAGCAGTAATAAAATAACTTTTTCAAATTTTCAACAACTTTTAACTTCATATCTTTTTGCACCAAATAGTATCGATAAGTACCGGTTTTCATAAACAGTATCGGTATCAGTATCAGTATCGATAAAATGTAAACGATGCCCATCCCTAATCTTAAGTGTGTAAAATATTAATACAGTGAACTCAGTGAACGCCATGAAAGTACATAAATGTGTACATGCTAAATTGTATATTTAAAAATTAGCTTGTGACCAAGTTAATTTCCACCATGATTTTTAATATAGACATTCATATGTAAAAGGCTTGTTTGCTTTGCTCTGCTTTGCAGTGTAAGTTACAGTCAGACTGAAACCAAAGTCAAGACACTGGCTGCTCACAACATCCACGCGTCTCTGCCAGATCTGTTCGTGTCGTTACGGAGATGTTAAATGCCTTAGACATTTCTTTGTCTCGTCTTTTCTCCAGTTAGACACCATAATACAAGGACAACAGCCCATTCTGTCAGTTTGTGAATGTTTCCCCTGACATTTGCTTACCTCGCAGCCTTGCAGCTTTTTCCCACCACTAACTTTTCCTGATTGTTGTGAAGGTTTTTCTGTTTGTTTCAGAAAGTGCCTATTAAAAGTACTGTCAGACTGAGCAAAGCAAAGCAACAATCGAGAATTAATTGCATTTCTATCATTAATTAAGCCAAACACTTCATCATCCACAGAACCCCAGAGAGACGCGCCGCAAGTGCATCTGTTTTACATTCACATGACAAGGTTTACAAATTAATTTCTGTGAACGGATTGAAATGTTCTCAGAAAACTTCTTACTTATGCAAGGACAACCTTTAGGTTTAGGTTTGCAAAATCAGTACAGATTATTTTGTAAATCACAAACAAATCAGATATGATTACCGGACTCGCTTTCTTCACTACGCCACGTTTACTGATTGTTTTATTTGCAATGGACTGTCAGATTATAAGACAAAATGCAAAGCAAACTTTGGTCTCATTCAAATTCATTGCACATTCATCCCTTAAGCTTCAATTTGTTGAATGTCGCTTCCAAATTTGCTTCAGCTTGCTTGAAGTTGAACTTATTAGCTCTTTGAAATATTTGTGTAGCGAAGCACAATTCAATAATTTATTCTCATATCTAACTCAAAGTACAGCGATCAGAACCTATTTAGCTACCGTTACACATAATTGCTGGATCAAGAGGTCATTATCGGTAACAATAGTTGCTGATTGCGTTCACGTATGCACTTCAAGAAACGAGCAATTCATATCTGAAGATTGAGCCTTTAGCTGAGGCCTCATTTAGTTTTCTCGTGATGTGTGATTTTAAACTGTATACTTTACCAAGAAAGGATTTTCATTTTGGGCAGCGGTTTCTCCAGAAGTTACACATTTTTAGCCTTGGCCCCAGGCAGCATTTAGTCATGGATGGCACTCTTTAATTGAGCCTCTCAGGGCTTGAATTTCCTTTCCACGGCGTCTTTCTTTCTCTGAGCGTTTATAAGTGTCCAGGGAGTCTTGGACATCATTGTACCACAGTATAATCGAGTACGGAGCTGTGATATATAACCGACAATGGCAACCGGACAAAGTCTCACTTCAAAAAGGAAGTGAAAACGTCACTCGCTAAAGAGTAAAATGAACTAGAGTGCTGATGTAAACGGGTATCAGTGTGTTCAGAGCAGCTCTAAGCCTATTGATAGTCTCAAACCTGAACAATTTGTGTATTTTTACAAGGCATTATCGGGTTTTCGTAAAAACCATCTTATGTTTTATCACCTGCAGTTTCACACTGATGAAATGACACATCCTGCGATCAGTATGACATAGATATCTATATCGTTTCAGGGCGAGCGTCCTCAAAGCTTGAGAAGTTACAGATTTCGTGTCTGCGAGGCTGAAGCTAACATAACGCTTGATTAGGATGCCCGTCTGTGTATCTCTCCCCCTTCAGCTTTCACATTCGTTCGCTCCGAGCTTTGATCTGCCTCATTTCAGCCAGTATCAAGCGGGCTTCCATCCATTGGAGTGTCAGTGAAATGCCCACAGCGTGATAAATCCATGTCCCAGCTCTCTATCGCAGCTGCTATTGATCCAACATGAAGCCGAATCCATTTAATGGGATTCATTACCTTTAATAGGGTCATTTCACATTGTTTCTTCTAATTGACAGCCATTGTCTGAAGCCGTCCAGTCAAGCATATTGGGGAATTCATCAGAGCTTTATTGAGGCGCCCGTATGCCTCAATAATCCCTAATGAATACAGCTCTTAAATAAAAGGCAAAAGAAGATCCAGTGGCAGGAAACCTGAAGGCAGTAATGACACTATCGATTCCTAATACAGGCTTATTACCAGATAGCACAGGGCAGCTAAACAGTCTTTAATATAAAGGATCACCAGGTTTTCAGAGACATGCCATGATAACTGTTTACATGATCGTGTTCAGATTTAAACGTGCTCCGGGCTGCGATCTGTTTTCTAATATGAGCAGATTAGCTAAAAATGAGACATCTGTCTTGAGTAGAGCATCATGTAGCAATTTTGTTGTTCCAATTTTTTTTTTCAAGCTACAAAGGCTCCATTCATCATTTATTGAAGATGCCATATTCTACATTTTTGTAGTGACTGATTCTTCCTTGAAGGACACAATTTTCTTTTTCTTTTTGCATTTTGCAAAAAAATATCATAATCGCCATTCAAACGTTTGGGGTCAGTGCATTTTTTAATGGTTTTGAATGGCAATTATGCTTACAAACTTACAATTTAAAATAACTTTTTAAATTTTTTTCTATTTCAGTATATTTTAAAATGTAATTGATTCCTGTGATAGCAAAGCTGAATTTACAACAGGCGTCAGTGTCACATGATTCTTCAGAAATTATGAGGTTGGAAGGGAAGCACAAAAGTCAGTGGGTTACACAACACAAATCTTAAGTGTGTAAAATATTAATACAGTGAACCCAGTGAACGCCATGAAAGTACCAAAATGTGTACATACTAAATTTTATATTTAAAAATTAGCTTATGACCAAGTTCATTTCCACCATAATTATTAATATTGACATTCATATGTAAAAGGTTTGTTTGCTTTGCTCTGCTTTCCAGTGTAAGTTACAGTCAGACTGAAACCAAAGTCAAGACATTGGCTGCTCAAAACATCCGCGTGTTTCTGCCAAATCTGTTTGTGTCATTACGGAGACGTTGAATGCCTTAGAGATCTCTTTGTCCCGTCTTTTCTCCAGTTAGACACCATAATACAAGGACAACAGCCCATTCTGTCAGTTTGTGAATGCTTCCCCAGACATTTTCTTACCTAGCAGCCTTGCAGCTTTTTTCCACCACTGAATTTACAACAGTCTTCAGTGTCACGCGACCCTTCAGAAATCATTCTAATAAGCTGATTTGCAGCTCAAGAAACATTTTTTATTATCATCCATGTTGAAAACAGTTGTGCTACTTAATATTTTTTTGTTGATGTTGTGGAAACTGTAATAGATTTTTTCAGGATTTTTTGATGAATATAAAGTTTAAAAGAACAGAATTTATTTGGAATAGTGTTAATTAAAAATAAAAATCTTACTGTCCCCAAACTTTTGAATGGTAGTGTATGTGAGTATATCTACAACCCTACTCTCTAGATATCAACGATTAAAAAATAATATAAAATAATAGAGATTTTCTTGACCGATTCCGATTTCTGATTTTTCGTTAGTGTGATCTGCCGATTCCGATTTTCTTTCTAAGAACTATAATTGACAGCATATACAAACAAAAATCTACTTTTCTTCAACACAAAGTTTTATTTTCATAAAAAAACACAAGTTAAAAAGTCAGTTATAAAATAAGAACAAATAAGAAAATGACAAACAACAGCACAAATAAATGCAATAGAATAAAGAGAGCTATGAAACTTAAGTTTTTCAGGTTAAGTAAGTTTTTATTCAGGTAAGAAATACTACAGAAATTAAAGTAATCAAATGACAAATAACACTGGATGTGTTATTTTATATTTGATTACTTTAATTTCTGTGGTCTTCATTGTAAAAATTAAATACAGATTAATGCTTATCATTAAAGTTGTAAAACGTATTCAGTCAAGAGCAGAAAATTATTTTCTTTGTCTTTTGTTCTTTGATTAACATGACAGACAGCAGCAGGAATATTGGACTGCGGTCTCTTTAATAAGAGTTTATCCACGGACCCAATATACTGTCATACAACATGCGTTCTCTTTCTCAACTATTTAACGTTCCAAAACTGATTGTGTTTAACTGGATACTCGCCAAGACGGGAATTTTGACATAATTTTGTATGTATTTGAACGTTTTAGCTCACGTTAATTTAGCCACTCATTTTGGTGTTTGTGGCTCACAAGCTGTTTGAGACTGAGCGCGGATTGTGCACTCCACTATTATAGATCAGTGGGGGTATAAGCACGAAACCTGTGGGAATGACTAAAATAATGCTCAATACATTCACTACTCTGGAAAGGAGTGTGGATCCTTGGACAGAGTCATTTTTGCTAAATCTATAAACATTCAGTATATGCTCTTACTTTTAATCTACTACCTTCTTTAAATTAACGCTTAACTAGTAATCAGTCTTTTCAAGTATGCATAAAGCATATTTATGAAATGGTATTGTGTAGCAGTTTGATCTGTGATAACTTTGTCAGAAGTCAAGATGCATGTTTATGTTTTGAGGTTTAATTCCAGTTATACCACAGAGTATTTTTTGGTTTTCTTTTCATAACTACAGTAAATGTGACTGGAAATAATTCAAGGCCAACTCTGAATAGGCCTTGTCCTTTGTTATGCAGTGAAATATTGGCCTTTTTGTATGTTTCTAATATTTTACCCATTCATGACACTTCCATAGAATTTAACAATACTACAGCACAAAGAGAAAAACACAACAATACCCGCAACAACAAAGATAGCAATTAAACTGAATCTTTTAGATAACAAATATGCTCGGGGTAACTTTAGGGCTTGAGGGCAGAAATTTTACTGCTTGGAAAGCAGAAGCTCTTTTTATGTTAATATGCTTTTTATGTTTAATTTTAAACTTTGTGTTTCAGGTTATCCACGCTATGATGTGATTGGGGACCACAGCAAAGGCGAATATCACCTACTGATTCAGAGGACCGAACTGACCGACGACGGCAGCTTTGAGTGTCAAGCCATCCAGGCTGCGACCAGATCTCGACCTGCTCGGCTCACTGTTTTGGGTCAGTGTCACCTACCAGGACCTACCATAAAAAGAGACAGACGATCTATAGATAGATAGATAGATAGATAGATAGATAGATAGATAGATAGATAGATAGATAGATAGATAGATAGATAGATAGATAGATAGATAGATAGATAGATAGATAGATAGATGTTCATTATGTTACATTACAAGCAAGTTCTGTGGTTCACTTTGATAGATAGATAGATAGATAGATAGATAGATAGATAGATAGATAGATAGATAGATAGATAGATAGATAGATGTTCATTATGTTACATTACAAGCAAGTTCTGTGGTTCACTTTTTGCTTCTCTTTCTAATTGAAGTCTTTTTTGCATGAGTGCGGATAGATAGATTGATGGATGAACCGATGGACAGTCAGACAAATCAGTACATACTTTAACTGGAATAGCACTAGAGCAGAGATAGAGTAAAAGAAAGCAAGGCCATGAGAATGAGAAAGCATGAAAAAGCACCGCCTCTGCAATACTGTGAATGAAGACAAGAACAAAGTCAATCTCTGAGTCAGATAAATGTGTGATATTCTGAAATCAGGGCTAATCAGCTTTAATAAGACACATTAGATATGTTTGCTATCGATAGAGGCCCTGCCACAAATGCATTGCGTCAGCTTAGCTCCCAGGCAGCCCAACTCTGCCTGATTATCATTATCGATTTTTTTTCTTTCCTTTGTTAAAACTATGATATATTCCAGAGGAATAAGTTCATTACGCTGGCCTCGGAGTAACAGCATTTTAAACCAGTAATCTGAGTCTAGACGCTTAAAGCTGAGCGAAGATACTGGCGATTCTAGGTCCATTAAAATGATTAATTATAGATGAGAGGCCGCTCATTTGTTTGTATTTTTTGCTGGTCCAGTGGCAGCAGAGACAAATCATCGTGCTCCCCAGGGCAGAGCCATTAGCCTGACATGTAATCCCACACAAACTGGCTTACTTCTGAAAAGTTGCATACAAAACCGCAAGCAGCTCCTGAGTGAGGTAATGAACCTCATGTAGGGACTCAGTCACTGTCAATCCCCTGTCACTTCCCTCCCGGGGGGATGACGGCGCGTGACCACAATCAGATGCGGTGTTTGGTTCGTTCGCTCTCTTTCTCTATCTCTCTCCTGACAGCAGAGATCTAAAGTGGTCTTTGTAACCTGATTGGATGCCTGGCCTGTGAAGACTCTAATCTGTCTTTGTCGCTTACTGAGAAAAATGTCTGTGGAGGCTTTTTCCCGACTTTGACTTTGAAGCCCGGTGTTTGGGTGTGAGTTCAGGACTCTGCTGCGATGCATTAATATGCCTAGGTCTCAAATCTCGCTACGCCCGTGTGTATCGGCCACTAAATGTCCCCACTCCGGTCTCCCGCGGAGCCCTCATGCAAATTCAGAGTGAGTTCACGCTTTCTTTTATTCTCTTTCAAGTGGTACAGCTTCGCAATAAGGCTCTCGAACAATCAGTCCGGCTTCGGATGTGCACTTCTGCAATTACATGAGTGCGAACTCGGCAGCAGGAGGGCGGCTGACCTGCCGGAGTGACATTTGAACTTTGAACATCCGTAGGAGAGTTGTGGGGTAACCCAGTTTGTTTTGTGGTGGCCAGGCTGCTGAATAAGACATGAGATGGGGTTGGTACACATTGCTGAAGAAGGACCCCAGAGGCTAATTAGATCCAAGGAATTCCCCTAAAGCTAAGGTGAGGAGCTGCAGAAAGAGCGCGAGCCGCGGCACAGCAACTCAGTGAACCGTGGGGAGAAACCCAAGCCACTTCCAAAGGTCACCATTGTTTAAAAAGAGCTACTGCAGTGTTTCTGTAAGCTCTCAGCATTTGTTCTGCTCATTGTCTTCGGAGTTAAAGAGCTTGTGAGATATGGGTGCTTTCAGACTTAATTAGAGGCTTTCTTTCCTTCTTCACATGGTTTGATGCGAATGACAACAATGCTATGTGGAACAAAAGTACAGTTTGTTCAATGTGTCAAACTGTCTTAAAGTCAACATTGACCCGTTCACTTTTTCTAGTCTTATTAGAAACAATTTGTTGGTTATTTCAAGGAGAAAAGTTTGAAAAGGACTTGCTCTCTCTCTGAATTGACTTTTCGCTCTTGTGTTTCAACACCTTCAGTCTGGTATGTAGTGCAAATTTGTCATGTTCAACCCTACATTATTTTTTGTTAACATGAATATGAATGGTGGTGATGTTGGCTTTCACGTCTGATTTTCACAACAATTTTTTTTCACTAAATATTTAGCAAAAAGTCATAATTAAAGGCATTTAATATGCCTTACTCATGGAACACAACCTGAAGAAATGTGTGTGTGTGTGTGTGTGTGTGTGTGTGTGTGTCACGAATTCGGTCCATGGACTTCCGTTTATTCACCACCAGAGGTCACCCTTTCCATTACATTGACTCTCGCACAACACAAACTGTTGCATAGCACCCCGGACTACATATCCCATCATTCTTTGGACGATTTGCACACTGCACTGATTTGCACTCATTGCACACAGCTGTTTCTAATCACCTCACTCACTATATAACACCCACTCTAACCACCTTTCTCTGCTGAGTATTGTTTAGCCTGTACCCCTTTCCGAGTCTCCGTCTTTTCTGTGTTTTCCTTGTTTTGCCTTGCCTGTTTTCGCGGTTTCTGATCTTTGCCTGTTTTCCTGGATTTCTCCCTCTCGTCTTGCCCCTGTGATTCTGTCTGCCGATCGGTGACCTACGCTAGCCCTAGGACTATTCTTGTGTTTTTGCCCGCCATATACCTGTTTACCATTGTTCGACCCTGCCTGTTATACCACGTCTCTTTAAATAAAGCTTGCAGATCGTCTCGTCAGCCCCGTTACAGTGTGTATGTGTGTGTGTGCATATGTGTGTGTGTGTGTATACAGTGGGGCAAATAAGTATTTGATACACTGCTGATTTTTCAAGTTTTCCCACTTACAAAGAATGGAGAGATCTGTAATTTTCATCGTAGGTACACCTCAACTGTGAGAGACAGAATAAAAAGGAAAACTTGAAAAATCGGCAGTGTATCAAATACTTATTTGCCCCACTGTATATATATATATATATATATATATATATATATATATGTGAAGAGTTCATTTGCAAAAACCGATAAAAATATTTTTTTTTCAGAAATCACGTTTTTTTTTTATTGCGCATTCCAAATAATATCAATCAAACTGCAGTTGGGTTGTTTTGATTAAGTAATAATAACTTAAAGCTGCAGTCCGTAAGTTTTTCCTCTTTCTCGCCATCTCTGTTTGAAAACCTGCAATTGCAGCTGTGTGCGGAATTATCTTCCTTGCGTGGGTTGTGCGGCAACACGGCGCCAGCGCTGATGAATCTGTTTTGAGGAGTATGTGTGGCAGTCAGTCACCACACCGGTGGTTGTACTTTGCACTCACAGATTCTAGCCTATGTCTTGGAATATATGACTCAAGCTTTTTCACAGGATATTGTCATCTGAACAAGTAAGTGACAAGTCTGCCACATTTGTTCTGACCAACTGAGGAAAAAAGCATTACAATAAATTGCGCTACCAATGGTGATTTAATCTAAATTAGCTCATATCACATCAAACCGGGCAAATTATTATTATTGTTATACTTTATTCTCAAATTGTTAATGTTAACAACATCAGCATTGTGTGACTATGCGTATAGTGTGTATAAGCGAGTAGATTTCAATTTATGTACAGTCTAATCTCTAATTGTCATACCACTCGAATTCCATATTAAGAAATTCTTTTAACCCAAAAAGCTAATTATGCTCCCTTTGAACTGGTTGTCTTTAAAATACAAATCTTGTAATCAGAAGCACATTTAAAACTGGAATATAATTTAATTTCATTCACATGTGTTTCATAAACATACTCCTTTCTGGATTACAATCCGCCATGAAAATGATACATTTAATTATTCCAGCTGCTTTGAGAAAAGGCTATAAACAATTGGCCACCTGCAGGATCCTCACATGTGATAGCCTAGTAGCCGGGACAACTTCTTTATGTTTACAGAAGTGATGTAATGACGCAGCAGAATGCTTGAATTTCCCGTGAAAACCTACCCGTACCTCTCAAATTAGAAAACATTATTATAAACTGACCGTTGTGAATCGGGCTAAAGTAAGACGATAGTTTCGAATGGTTTTAAACAAGTACAGGTAATTTACTAAATTAAAGTTTATTGGAAGTATGTTTTTTTTGCATATTAAAATTTTGTTTTATAGCAAAAGCAGATAACTCCAACAGTTGTTTTTTGGCAAAAGCAGATAACTCCACATTTCATGTTTTAGAGTTTAAAAAAACACTTGTTTAATCTTTGCAATCTCCTCAGATGACACTTCTTCAGATATCACAGGTTCATCAAATTCGTCGAAATTATCCTTCCTCGATCACTTTTAGTCAGCTTTGTCGAAACTCCTCTCAGCTAGCACGTCTTTTCAAAGTGAAAGTAGCCTTGTCTCCTGACCTGAATACAGCGTGCTGATTCGCTAAAATGGATTTATCGGCTTCTGTTCAAAAACAACAAGGGCGCTTGTTGGCTTCTGCAGTAAAACGTGAACTCACGATGCCTTGAAAGTGGACAAAACCGTTTTTTTTTTGACAAAACGTGTTTAGGGTTCAGATCGCGCTATATGTGGAGAATAATGCATGACAATCAGCTAATTTTTTTTGAAGTGGCGTTTATCGGTTTTTACAAATGAACTCTTCATATATATATATATATATATACAAACCCAATTCCAAAAAAGTTGGGACACTGTACAAATTGTGAGTAAAAAAGGAATGGAATAATTTACAAATCTCATAAACTTATATTTTATTCACAATAGAATATAGATAACATATCAAATGTTGAAAGTGAAACATTTTGAAATGTCATGCCAAATATTGGCTCATTTTGGATTTCATGAGAGCTACACATTCCAAAAAAGTTGGGACAGGTAGCAATAAGAGGCCGGAAAAGTTAAATGTAC